ACCAGATATACAATCAAGCAGTAAACAATACCCTAATCAAGGAACTACCAGAGGGAAAAAAATAAAATCCCCACCAACACTGGCAGGGCATGCCAGAGTATATAAACAGAGAGCAAACCCCATTCCATTCTAGCACTGAAGATGTTACCTAACCGGGCAATGAAACATTTGCAAGAAAATGACCAAGCTCAGAGAACCCCAAAGACTCCACAGGTTCCTAAATGCACGTAGAATAATTTCATCTCAGTTCTCAAGGATGAGTACTCTGTGATTAATAGCCAAGTATTTTACCATGTGTTTTTGTTAATTGCCATTTCTGATGTCAGCTTGTGGCCGTTATTTATTCTTCTGCATAGATATTGGTCAGCTTGTCTAATGTAGAAAGTAGTGGGATGTTGTTGACAGAAGATGATATATACCATACTGATGGGATTTATACCATATCGATGGGATGAGCAAGTGTATGGTTTTGTAGTCTTAAGATGGCATAGGACTGTTCACTGTTTTTGCCACAAAAGACTCATAGAGCACTCCTGATTTGAAAATTCATCATAACCAACCCACCATTCTTATTCTGAAAATATCTCATCTCAATTATATTCAGTAACATTTGTTGGTGATTAGATAATTATAACCCTAATTGGCAAGGAAGCTGATGCATTATTTTATAAATGATATTTGAAAATATAGGTTTTAAGAAGAGTAAGTGTCACGTTACCTGTAGAAAATGAATGCTCCTTCCTGAGTTCCCCAGCAATTGGTGTTAAAGTAATATGTGGTCATCCAGATTTGTAGCACTGATAAGTCTTAATCTTGTCCTTCAAGTATTTGTCAAATTCCCTTTTAAAGCCATTCAAATTACCCTTGAAAAGTGAGAGAAAGTTTCTCACAATGACTTTTCCCTTCTGATGCTGAATCCCTCGAATCAAAGTGGATGAAATCAAAATAATCCTATTGTGGTATAATGAAGTTTCAATTTATTTTTCTTTTCAAAAAGCAATATATTTTATGTTTTAACAGAATCATTTAAAAACCACGTATAGACCAAGATTCTTCAACAGAGAAGGGTAATTAATGTTTATTTCTTAAACTTTATATAGAAATAGATAAAACTGAGGTGTAGTAGTACAATGTATCTTATATTGCAGTATTTCATACTGGTAAAATTGAAAAGCTATGCAGATGCTTCTAAACTTCCAGAAGGTTTGATAAATTTGGGCTTGTTTTTCTTAAATGTAATTTCCATCACAGTAAATAGTAGACTATTTTTGAAATAAAGCCAATTCTTGTAAATATTTTGTATATGACATATAGGTATCAGTTGTTAAAAAAGTAAAAGTAAAATTATTCTTATTGTGCACATCACTTTGCTGTTTTAATCTTGTTCATTATGTCTATCTTTTATGTCTTGTCCTGTCAGAAATTCTTATTTTTGTTCAAACTTCTTTTATATATAGTTTCATTTAAAGTTGTTTCAGATGGTAAAATTAGTTTTGCTCCAAACTTGTGATTTACTAAGGATTCTTCAGTGCGTGCATAGAAAAGCTCTCTCATTGCAAGAATTTCCATGTATATTTTCACGCAAAGATCAGATCTGTTTTTTCCTTTTGTAGAAATGGAACTACTCCATTAGTATTAACAAATTAGTAACTCCCTGTAGATACAGGATACCTGTACGTATTACAATGTACCCAAGGTTACAATTTTTGTGTGTGTTTTGGTCTGATGTGGCTTATATTTCTATTTCTATTTCTAAATGTATATTTAGCAATTCTAATAATTATTATGCTTTTAGAATAGCACTTAGGTAATCCAATACCTTCTAATTAGTTTTATGAGGTGTGCTGGGAAAGATTGTTGAGATGGGATTGTTGATACATAGAACATAGATTCTGGAATTATGAAATAGCCATATTTAGCTTATATCATCAGACTGAGTATAATGAAATGAAAAGTTATACTGAGTAGACTATACAGTAGTAACAAAGGCAGTGCAATAGCCACAAATAGGTAAATGAGAGATTACATCTTACAGATGTTCTAATGCTCTAATATATTTTTGTATGAAAATCAGTAGCTATCTTTGCATTTAAATAATTTATCAGCACTTATTCAGCAATTATTACATATGCTGCAATGAGGTGCTTTTTACTAATAAAGAAAAAAATCATTTTGCAACCTGATCTGTGCAATGTTTTCTCAAAGAAGGTTTGTCTGGCATCATCCTTGGTTTTTCAGTGTTCAGCAGATTTAACCAGGTTAACCTTGATATCTCGCCAGCTGGGCTCTGCTCTAGGAAGGAGGCTCTGGCAAAC